CTGGGCTGAAATGATTGGGCCATTATATTCCCTCAGCATGGGTGAGGACTGCTCCTGGAAGAGCAGGACTGTGGGCAAGGTGGCTCTCGAGCTGAGACACCACCTGAAGCAGCTGGCAGTTCTCCAGGCAGCTGGGGCAGCAAATCTTTCCTGGAAGGAGAATGGGGCAGTGCATCTCCATGCCCACCTCTTTAGTGGTATTAATTATATGGTCATACCTAAAGGTCAGGCTGTGTTGATCAAAGGGTAAATATTATGGGCTCTTGCCAGCTCTCCTCACAAGTTCTAGATTAATCATTTTAGGCTTTAATTTCTGGGAAAAGAATGGGCAATATCTCTTCTGTTTGCTGTGGGACCCAGAAGACTATTCCAGCTGTCCTTGACTGGGAGCAAAATAGTCTCCACAGTAGCTGGCTATAAACCAAACCAAACCCATTGCTGTCGAGCTGATTCTGACTCACAGTGACCCTATAGGACAGAGTAGAACTGTCCCACAGGGTTTCCAAAGCTGTAAATCTTTATGGAAGCAGATGGCCACATCTCTCTCCCATGCACAGGCTGTTGTGTTTGAACTGCCTTCCTTTCAATTAGCAGCTGAACTCTTTAATCACTGGGCCACCACGGCTCCCTAGCTGGCTATAGGCAGGACATAAATAAAACCCAATGTATTTAAACAAATGAATTAATTAAAAAGCTACGTGTTTATGCATGAGGGTGTACACATATGAATATGTATATATGTCTGAGTATGCCCACATGTGGGGGTGCACTTTTATATGAGTGTATGTAGGATGATTTGGACAAACGAGAGGCTGCAGGGTTAGGTGTGTAGTGTAGACACACCCACATGAATCGGTGGGTATGTTTATGAGAATGCCAATATTTACTCATTTGTCAAATATTTAAGCGTCTATAATGTGTCAGGCATTGTGCTAGAATAGATAAGACAAGGAAGGCACCTGCTTCCAGAAGCTTATTGTCTTGTGGGGAGACAGACAGCTCAGTACACATATTTGGGGTACAGTGTGGGAAGATTCCAAACAGGTGGCTATGGGAGCACCTGGGGGCACCCAGAGCAGACTAGGGGAGCAAGGGCCGATGTGGGAACTTTCCCAGGGCAGGAGACCCTTGAGCTAAGTCTTGTAGGATGAATGGAAGTTACTCAGACAAAGATAATGAGAAAATGTGTCCTGAGCAGAGGAGCATAACTTTCAAATGCAAAGAGAAGTAAGGGTAAGGGGGTCACAAGAGTAAAAGTGAAGGGTGGGCCAGATGCCAGAGACAGAGGCAAGCTTCGGGAGAGGGAAGCACAAGTAAGCAGATCCCTGAAGCCTTAATACTTTCAGTGAAAGGGTGTGAACTTTCTCATGAAGGAGTGTGAGCTCTCTCTTTAAACAGGGGGCAGGACGGGGGCAAGGGGGGATGTTGTTGTTATTAGGTACCGCAGAGTTGGTTCTGACTCATAGCAACCCTATGTTCAAAGCAATGAAACTACCCAGTCCTGCATCATCCTCACAATCATTGCTCCGTTTTGAGCTCACTGCTGCAGCCACTGTGTCAATCCATCTCATTGGGGGTCTTCCTCTTTCTCACTGACCCTCTATTTTACCAAGCATGATGTTCTTTTCCAGGGACTGGTCCCTCCTGATAACATGTCCAAAGTATGTGAGACGAAGTCTTGCCATCCTCGCTTCCAAGGAGCACTTTGGCTGTATTTCTTCCAAGGCAAGACGTGTTTGTTCTTCTGGCAGCCCGTGGTATATTCAATATTCTTTGCCAACACCATAATTCAAAGGCATCAATTGTTTGGTCTTCCTTATTCATTGTCCAGCTTTCACATGCATATTTGGTGACTGAAAATATCATGGCTTGGGTCAGGCTCACCTTAGCCCTCAAAGTAACATCTTTGCTTTTTAACACTTTAAAGAGGTCTTTTGCAACAGATTTGCCCAATGCAATGTGTTGTTTGATTTCCTGACTGCTACTTCCACACGTGTTGATTGTGGATCCAAGTAAAATGAAATTCTTGACAACATCAATCTTTTCTCCGTTTATCATGATGTTGCTTATTGGTCCAGTTGTGAGAATTTTTGTTTTCTTTATGTTGAGGTGTAATCTGTACTGAAGGCTATAATCTTTGATCTTCATCAGTAAGTGCTTCAAGTCCTCTTCACTTTCAGCAAACAAGGTTGTATCACCTGCATAACGCAGGTTGTTAATGAGTCTTCCACCAATCCTGATGCCACATTCTTCTTCATATAGTCCAGCTTCTTGGATTATTTGCTCAGCATACAGATTGAGTAAGTATGGTGAAAGGATACAACTCTGATGAACACCATTCTTGATTTTAATCCGTGCATCATCCCCTTGCTCTGTTCGAACAACTGCCTCTTGGTCTATGTACAGGCTCCACATGAGCACAATTAAGTGTTCTGGAATTCCCATTCTTTGCAATGTTATCCATAATTTGTTATGATCCACACAGTCAAATGCCTTTGCATAGTCAATAAAACACAGGTAAACGTCTTTCTGGTATTCTCTGCTTTCAGCCAAGATTCATCTGACATGAGCAATGATATTCCTCATTCCATGTCCTCTTCTGAATCTGGCTTGACTTTCTGTCAGTTTCCTGCCGATGTACTGCTGCAACCGCTTTTGAATGATCTTCAGCAAAATTTTACTTGCATGTGATATTAATGATATTGTTTGATAATTTCCGTATTCTGTTGGATCACGTTTCTTTGGAATGAGCGCAAATATGGATCTCTTCCAGTTGGTTGTCCAGGTAGCTGTCTTCCAAATTTCTTGGCATAGTCAAGTGAGCACCTCCAGCACTGCATCCCTTTGTTGAAACATCTCAATTGGTATACCATCAATTCCTGGAGCCTTCTTTTTCACCAATGCCTTCAGTACAGCTTGAGGTAGTTTAGTTATATTTTCGTTTTAGAGGATCACTCTGTCAGCAGAGTCGGGGGCGGATGGACTGCCGGGCCTAGATGTGTTCCTGTGCGTGCATTTATGAGGATGTGTACATACATGGCTGTATGTGGGTCTGCACATCTGGATGTCCGTGCACCAGGTGTACAGCCCACATGGACTTGTTTTCCACTTCCACCATCTGGCCTTGGCAGCCCAGTGGACTCAGGGGAATGCTGTCTTGCTGCTGATTCAAGGCTGAGTAGCACAACAGGGGAGCCAGTCAGAAGCCAGCAGGCAGGTGTTTCCTCTAGGGCCATATGAGCACCCCTGCCTGCTGGGCTGACAGCGAGGTGGCTGGCGGGTGATGAGTGAATGCTTCAGTCCCTCCAGCCAGTGCTTCCTGGAAAGCAGTGCCCTGTCTGTGCAGAGGTGTGCGGCTGGTCTGAGCGAGGCTGGGTTAGCATAGCCAATGCTTGTCCCAGACCTGTGCATCAGGGCCAGGAGGGGCAGAATGGTAAGGGGCGGGGGGAGCTGCCATGCTCAGCTCTCCCTTTCTGGGTCTCCCCTCTCTCTGGGCACCCAATCTTCAAGCACTGAAGTCATATAGTTTTATATTAATTATCTATTAATATACTATAACTGTGATATTCTACCTCTTAAAAATGTAGGACAAATCCAAAAAAAAAATCATTTATCACATTTCATATAGCCCATAATATAGACCGTAGGAAGGTAAGAGGCATTTGGTTTTGTAATATAAGACCGGGGAACAGTATGGTGAGTGGTTTTGAGCTTGGAATTTAGAGTCCAAATGCCTGGGTTCAAATCTCAACTCTACACTTACTGGCTCTGTAAGTTACTTAATCTTTCTGTGCCTCAATTTCTCCATCTACAAGACAGAAATGATAATACCTCACAGGATTGTTAGTAGGATTATATGAGTGAAGTGCCTGCTGTATAGCAAGTATTCAGCTATAAACCTTAGCTATCATTGTCTGGGTTTGAGTCCTCTTATCCCCTGTAGGGACATCCCTAACTCACTCGAGGAAAAGTTGTGACCTCTCTGGATCTCCAGAGGAATCATCGACAAAATGAGAGGTTGGCTGATCTTTTACCACCTAGAGCACTTGTCCTCTATCAGCTTGTTTTTATATGATGTGCATCCCTGGTTTTAGAAGATTTTGCTTGTAAACTTCACTTATTAAATAATAACCTACTTGGACTCATCACGGTTTCTCTTAGACTTTACAATATAATAGGAACAGCTCCCAGGTGCTCCTTATTGCCTTTAGGACTGAGAACTCCTGGATCAGATGAGGTAATTCCAGGGAGGCCACCGCTTCCACTCCAGTTTCCGATACTAGCACCTCCACAGCAAGAGACAAGTGCCTTCAGGTGTTTACAGTTCACAGAACACGTAACCAAGTTGACCAGGAACTAGAAGATGCTTCACCTTGGCTTTTGGAGTGCCCCTGGCCACTGGTGCCCATGCCTCTGAGGGCACCACACATTCCAGCCAAGTTCAGAGAAGGAATTGTTCTGACTCCCTCACAGGACACACCTTATGTTTGGAAAATCCTAGTGCAAATTATTGTGGCTAGGGAAGACTGTTTTTATGGTGATTTATGATTTGGTCTGATGAGTCCTGTGTCCTATTATTTTCCATAGATTAGCTCTTTAAATTTTCACAATAATCTTCGTAACAGTTATTATCATCTCTGTTGAGTAGATGATGAAACAGAGGCTCAGAGAAGTGACTTGTCTAAGTTCAACTAGCTAGTAAATGACAACATTGTTTAGAATTTCTTACATATATTACATCATACGATTCTTACCTACCTCTGAAGTAGTAAGAATCTCCATTTTATAGATGCAGAAACTGAGGCTTAGCAAAGTTAAGAGACTTGTTTAAGGTCAAATAGCTAAGAGTTAGTCAAGGGGGAGCTGAATCCAGGCTTAATGTTCTTTCCCAACAGCAGCTGCCAGAAACCAGCTTTGAGGTGACCACCCTTTGGCAGTCAGGTGAGCCTGTGAAAAGGCTTTAGTCCCCAGTGGCTTTGTCAGCTGGGGTGGAAACCTACCTTGGATATCATCATTGAACATGCAGTACTTGTTGCGGTATTTGTTGAGCAGGCGGAAAGCGTTGGCATTGGCGAAGTCTTCAAACTGGATGAGGCAATTTATTCCAAACCTGTGGGGAGGGAAAGGAAAGAATACATGATTGTCTCCCTTAGCCAGGTCCCTTGCAGATCCCAGCCTGTGCTGGGGGGGTGGGAAGGCACAGGGTAATAGGTGGGGCTAGCGGGGTACCATGTTTCAAATACCTGGGGTATTTGCCACCTGGCTGGCTCATGGACTCCTGGGCTTGGAGCTCTGTTTGCCTCCAATGGGTGGAGGGTGGGGAAGGGAGGGTGTAGGGGCTCTGGGCTTGGTGGTCAGCTGAGCCCGTGTCTCTAGTGTGGGCTGGTGGCTCCATGGGCTATAGATGGCAGATTCTGGGGCTAAAGTGGAACTTGTCCTCTCTGTGGCCTGTGGCCCTCTGAAATCCCAGAGGACAGCTTGCTCCAAACCTAACTGCATGCACACAGCCCCGCTTCCCTACTATAAGGGCTTGGGGAGCCTCTACAGCCTCCAAATGTCTCCCTTGCTGGACCCTGAGGCCTGGGGTCCCCCACTAGAGACTCGTCTAGTGTAAGCATTGTTCCCTGATAAGATGCAAGCAAAGTCGGGAAAGGCCACTGCATTAAGACACTGTTATCTACAAACACCTTGGAGAACAAGATGTTCTCAAACTTGATACAGAAGAATAAATCACTGAGCTTGTTTAAAATGCAGATCTCCAGGCCTATCTCCCAGAGATTCTCAGTGAGTTTGGTGCGGGGCTCAGGAATCTGCATTTTTAACAAGCACCTCAGATGATTCTGATTCTGACAGAATGCACGCAAAAGCTGCACAATGAATAAGGAAGACCGAAGAAATATTGATGCCTTTGACTTGTGGTGTTGGTGAAGAACATCGAATATACCATGGACTACCAAAAGAAGGAACAAATCTGTCTTGGAAGAAGTACAGCCAGAATGCTCCTTAGAAGTGAGGATGATGAGACTTCATCTCACATACTTTGGACATGTTATTAGGAGGGATCAGTCCCTGGAGAAGGACATCATGCTCGGTAAAGTGGAGGGTCAGCGAAAAAGAGGAAGACCCTCAATGAGATGGACTGACACAGTTGCTGCAACAATGGGCTCAAGCACAGCCACAATTGTGAGGATGGTACCCGATCGTTCTGTTATGCATAAGGTTGCTATGGGTCAGAACTGGCTCGAGAGCACGTAACAACAACAACATAGGTGTCTTAGAAAAAAGTACTGGCTGAAAAATCAGCCACTGAAAACCCTTTGGGCACAGTTCTTATATACATGGGGTCTCCATGAGTTGGAATCGACTCAAAAGCAACTAGTTTAACGGTAATTGAGGTCGTGTTCATTGAGGAAAAATGTCCTGACTGATCAGTAATGAGTTTTGTAGGCATTGGAGTCTTTTTAGAAACAAGCATGGTGTGAACTAGAAAAAATTACTTAATACATGGACAAAAAAATAAGTTTTGTCTCATGGGTCAATTGTGATTGAGTAATAGTAATTGAGGTCATGTTCATTGAGAAAAACTGTCCTGACTGATCAATAATGAGTGTTGTGGGCATGTGACAGGGAGAGGTGGCCTCACTGCTATGTATCTGCATTCCCCACCTGGTATGAATGAACTAGAGTCTTGGGACCAGTGGAAAGAAAGATTTATTACCTTACTAGTAAAGGTGGGTGAGGCATATACTTGGTGGGCTTGCTGTGTTCTCGGGGATATCTTTCTGATGAAACTGGTGATATAAGGGGGTGAGTAGCAGTGAAATGGCCCACAAAACTTTTTTTCCAACCTTAAAATTATGTGTATGGCTTACCCTACCCAGCAGAAATACAACTGGGCAGGCAGATATTTGCTCCCAGCATGGTCCTTCTAGAACATTAGCTTGTCAGAGCTGTTTGTGAGGGAACTTGGAGATGGGTTCATGTTATGGGGCAGAAACAAAGGGGTAGTGACTTGTCAGTCCAGTGCCAAGAGTGCTGGGCTTGAGTCAGGGACTTGTGGCTCTATCACATATAACTAGGTGTCTCTGCACATGTCACTTCATTGCTCCATTCTGTCTCAGTTTCCCATCTGTCACTGGGCACAATAATATCTGCCTGGCCAACGTTTTTTAAGGATTAAAAGCTCAGGGTGATTTTTAAGCTGTAAAGGGCTAAACACAATTTTGCCGTCCTGGCCACAATTTTTATTTATGGTCATAGCGCAAGTGCTGCTGGGGGTAGGGGTGGGGGGCTCAGTAAGTCTCCTACCTAGATCTAGACCTCTTCTCATACTATAATAGAAGTGATAAATAAAACCTCGTATGCACAAATATAACACCATGTTCACCAAGCCAAAATTTACTGTGAATTTTTGTTGAGGGTGTGAACTACAAGTATTTGGGTTGGGAGGGGAGAACGGAATGTCTCTGGTGACTGGTGACATTTTGCTATATATAATCCCCACAAGACTCCCAGTGTTGCTCTACAACTGGCCTGGAGCTAAAATGTTGAAAAGGTCAGACAAGAAAACAATGTGATGCATGTGTTTTTTTTTTCTCTCTCTCTCTCACACACCCACTTGACCTTTAACACCACCACCACTCATATGCTGAAGTAAAAATAAGGCAAGAATTATAAATAAAGACCTTGTTCAGTGCATTATTACTATTTTATATTAAATTCAGTATTATATAAGAGACACCCCTCACCCCTTCCTGGAGCAATTTTGATGGAATATATAGTAATACCATATTGATTCAAAGCCTATGTGGATGACCTATCCTACAACCTGGATTCAGAGTTCCTAGGCCTCCTTGGATTTAAGGACCCCCAGAACCCCTGTCTACCTTGGACACACATCTCATGGTTGCTCTCAGGACCTTGTCATCACCGGGGAGCTGTTCCATTTCAGTCTCTGACCACAGCCTCTCATCCTTCAGCTTTGCCTCACTTTTTACTACATCTGTTCTATATCTGCATCAAGTCCTCTGGCCTTTCACCATTTTCTTCCAGTCCCTTGTCCCACTCTTATGGTCTTTCACAAAGCTGGACCACTATCCATTGTGACCGATGGTGGTCACTTCAGTCATTCTCTTAGCACTGTGCATCCATCTGTCTGTCCATCAGTCCGTCCGTCTGTCCGTCCATCCATCCAAAAGCATCTATAGAGCACCTTTAATGAGCTGATACTGTAGTTCAATAAATGTTTTAGGAAGCGGTGGGTACTTGAAGGAGTAGGTGGAAATTTAGTGTTGTGCAAGAGTTTGCCTGTCAACTTGTTCAACTAATTAAGAGCCAATTAAGAACAAAAAGAAAATTTCAAAGGCTTAGGTGGAAAAAATGTTTCTCAAATTCCATAACCTACATTTAGTCCATTCATGTACATACAAATACAGGTAATAGACTTTTACCATAACACTTATTTAAATGTTAATTATCAATTACCTTACATAGTCATTAAAATACTAGTACTAATAAAAATAACAAAATAGTTGACCTTTATTGAATGTTTCTTACCTGCTCGACATCATGCTGAGCTCTTTATATGTATTATTATCTCAATTAATCTTTACATCTGATGTTATGCAGTAAGTACTATTTTCAGGGAAGGAAACCTGAGCTATAGTTGTTATTTGCTCCAGGCTTAGTTACTCTACCACAGTTAGTAACTGAGGGAGCTGGACTCTGAACATGGCTCTATATGACTCTAAACCAAAAAAAAAAAACAAAAAAAAAAAAACCAAACTACTTGCTGTCAAGTTGATTCTGACTCATGGTGACCCCATATGTTGCAGAGTAGAACTGCTCCATACAATTTTCAAAGCCGTGACTCTAAGGAAGCAGACTGCCAGGTCTTTCTTCTGAGGTGCCTCTGGGTGGGTTCCTGCCACCAGCCTTTAGGTTAGTAGTTGAATGCTTAACCATTTGCACTACCCAGGGACTCTTACCTGACTCCAGAACCTGCCTTAGTTTAGTTTTTTTTAAATTTTTATTTAAAAATCTTTTATTATTTTTTCAGTGTGGTAAAATACAAATAACATAAGAATTTTCTATTTTAATCATTTTAAAGGTATAATTCAGTGGCATTAATTATATTCATAATGTTATGTAATCACCACCACTGTCTATTTCCAAAACGTTTTCATCACCCCAAACAGAAACTCTGTACTCATTAAGTAATAACTCCACATTCCTCCCTCCCCCAGCCCCTGGTAACTTCTAATCTGTTTTTGTCTCTATGCTTTTCCCTATTCTAGATATTTCATGTAAGGGGAATCATAGAATTTTTGTCCTGTTGTGTCTGGCTTGTTTCACTTAGCAATGCTTTCAAGGTTCATCCATTTCATAACATGTATTAGAACTTCATTTCTCTTTATGACTGAACAATATTACATTGTATGGATGCAACACATCTGTTGATGGACGCTTGGATTGTTTCTCTCTTTTGGCTATTGTGAATAATGCTGCAATGAACATTAGTGTACAAGTCTCCGTTCCTGCTTTCAATTCTTTTGGGTATGTACCTAGGAGAGGAATTGCTGGACCATATGGTAATTTTATGTTTAACTTTTTGAGGATCCTCCAAACCTTAGTTTTAACAGCAATATGGACTGGTAAAAGATAAAACTAAATAGAAAATAAAGCTGATTTTCTTTCTCTATTGGGAGAGACAAAGCCGTGGGGTGAAGAAAAGCCTGAACAGGGAGACACGAAAACTATGTTCTTTTTCTGCCTCTGCTATAAGCACGGGTTCTGGGTGATTCCCGCTTCTCTCTCTGGGTCTCAGTTTCCTGCTCTGAGAGGGCTGGAGGAGTAGCGTGAGCTACTAATGGAGTTGGAGTGGATACATTTTGAGCTTAACTGATATTTCTAGAAGTCCAACGTAGTGAGATCTGACCTTTTTTTTTTTTTAAATTGTACTTTAAATGAAGGTTTACAGAACAAGCTAGCTTCTCATTAAACAGCTAGTACATATATTGTTTTGTGACATTGGTTACCAACCCCACGACATGTCAGCACTCCCATCTTGATGTTGGGTTCCCTATTACCAGCTTTCCTGTACCCCCGCTG